AATATCGACCACTAATTACATAGTGTTATTCCTTGTAAAAAATTAACTCGAAAAATCCTGAACCATTTTTTTCTACATCGCTAAATAAAGCGATCATTACTGCAGTAGTTATTGCTTCATTGAGCATTGTAGAGAAAAATGGTTCAGGACTTTTCGACTCAACTTTTTATAAGAACTAGTGCTATATGATTAGTGAGTGTTGTTTAAAAACTATTTTTGTCTACAGTGCTTAATGAAGCAATAATTACTGCAGTAGTTATCACTTTAATTTAGCACTGCAGAAAAAAAATGATTTAAGATTTTTCGACTCAGTTTTTTAAAAGGAATAACGTTATGTAATTTGTGGTATTTAAGTTACACCTTGTCAAAATATTCACTTGATTAATGTAAAATACATTTTGTTAATGTGCTTTCAGGGAAAGATATGCTAAACTAACATGGGAAAAACCAATTCCTGACAATTATAAATTAACTGATTCTGATGTTGATGCCTTCGTTAAGAGTATATTGCCAGTAGCTATGACGGCTATGTTCAATAAATTCTGTGTAAACGATGCCTGCCAAGCTTTACAGCAATTGGCTACTATGAGACCGAATTTAGTAATACCTGATATGTTGGAAAGGATGCAGTCTACGTTTGATTCCTTGACTGAACCACATAAACTTACCGCTTCAATGATTTGTATGGTAGCTGTTGCCAGACCAATGGTTCAAGGTTCTAGGAATATAAACAAAGGTATAAAACTTATGCTTCCGGCTATATTACGCAGAAATATCTGGTTACTACAAAAATTTTAAATAGATATATGTATGCGATTAAAGGTTTTTTGGTGCTGAATTGAATCAAATCTCACTTCTTTTTACGAATTTGAATCGAATCAAATTGACAAAATTTTACCTGAATTGAATTGAATTAAATTAAAACAAATCGTTTAAATATAATTTTGAACATTATAATTACTGTTAGATTGAATTTTAACAAATAGATAATAAAAGAAGATTTTGATGTAAGAAAAATAATACTGATTCTATGATTGATGATAATTTATTTTTAAGTAAATATACATGTATTTAAGCATTTAACAGAAAATTAATATATATATACTTTAATTATATTATTAATGTTATTTTATTTGTTAGTATTGCAATAACTGAAATAATACTGCAATAACTAAAGGCAAAAAATCATAACTTAATTGTCAAAAAATATTTTAATGTACTATCCAATAATACATTTATACATACATAAAGGATGTCCCATTTCAAAGGATCTATTAAGATTTCTCGAAAATTATGATAAATACAGAAAAATGTTGCAAACAAACGTTATATGACTCAAAGAAGACATAAAATGATAACATTGATTTGTTCTTGGATGACGTCAAGGTCAGGGAAAAAACATTTAAAATTTTTTAAGAGCTCTTGAGATAAGCTACCAAAATATGCAATAAAAAAGGGGTTTTATTAAAAAAAATTTTAAGTGACCTTTCTCTAACCTTGACAGCACCAGTCATGATCAAATCAATGATATAATTTTACATCCCTCTTGAAGTCATATAATTTTTGTTTGAAACATTTTTCCATATTTATCATAGTTTTCGCGAAATCTTAATGGATCTTTTAAAATGGGATACTTGTATATAGGGTGGTAAAAACTGCAGCAATGCTTACACGAAAGATTCCTGAGATTTTAAGACAAAAATCTTAATACTAAAATCGACTATAATAGTATTTGAATTAGAAAAAGCAATTTTTGCGCGCGCGCACACACAAATATATGATATAGTTTTTATTGAAGTAAGTTTTTATTTCTTATGACTTACTTTAATAACATGATTACTGTTTTGCTTATTAGCGAGAAATATGATATACTAGATTGGTAATATATGTAATTTAAACCTGTTACTGTTAGATTCGAAATTTTCAAATTTCATCTCAATTACATCTCTAACTAATTCAAAACTATATTTAATGTACTTTATTGCTTATAAATATGTAAAAAGTAGTTGATGCACGTTAATAATAAATTTTAAACATTATATCTGTTTTCCCTTTTGTAATACAACTTTTACTTTTTACAGGTTACGGTTATTCGGAAGGTCCGGTGCACGTGTTGCCACTATTATTTTCGTTATTACCCGGAATTGACCCAAACGACGTTGGGAAGACTTTCGCTACGTTCCGTCTTATTTCCGTTTATGCTACATTGATCCCCATTGTGGACTCCTCCAGATCGACTGCGGTTATGACCGAGGAGGAAAGGATAGTTTGTGAGGCAACGTCGCGTTTTGAAGACTTTGTACTGCAGTTCCTGGATAGAGTATTCATTTTCATAGAATCCAGCTCGTCGGAAAATGTACGGCTCGAGAATCATGGCGGTAATTCGAAGAGCAAACTGGAATCGATTGCGGAGGTAGCGCTTTTCTGCGTGTGCGCAACCCTTCTGAGGGAAATCAGCGATGCCATCTTGGAGAGCGCCCTACACAAATTGCGCACGTTTATGACGGAGCGGATTCTCGAGACCAAAGTCGCGGGCCAGCTTGCGGCAGTCGTGTACAATAGCTTTTCTCACACACACGGACGCGAAACGCTGCGCGCGTTATTGCCTACGCTTACGCAAACGATTTTGCCACTGGTAAGCGAGGAAGAGGACATCTTAAAGGAGGAGAATCTGGACCATCGTCTCTCACATGCTATGCTTATACTGTCTGCGATCGTTGACACACCTGGCAATAATTTGATACCGCATATGGACACACTGCTTGAAGTTCTTGATCGTGTTCTACTCTTGAGATCAACGGACGGCAATAAATTGGCATGTAAATTATTGAATTCTATCCTGTCGTCATTGTCGACCATCACTCCATGGCAGTATAGATCCAACAGCAGAGATTATAATGATCCCAATTATCCCTATATTAGAGAATGGGGTCAAAGCGTTGATCTTGATAATTTCTGCATTAAATGGTATATTCCTGGCGAAGAAGAGATTGCTGCTATACAACGAATATTCTTAAGATATTTGACAATTCAAATTGACAAGCTTAATAAATATTGCAAAGATACTAGCGTATTAAGTAGGTAAGTTCACGTAATTATTATTTCAGTATTTTGCATTATATATAATTGTTCTAAAAATTCAAATTTTTAACAAAACGCATACAACCGAACAAAAGTGTGCGCGCGTGTTTATATAAAGTATGTAGGGCATCTAAATCAAAGTACCGAAATAAATATGTCAAAAATTTAACTCGATAAGTAAAAATATTTCAGAACATACAAAATTATATAATTTGAAGCATATTGTGCATAAAGTTTTTGACATATTCCGGTGTTTTGTTTTAGATAGCCCATCATGTATATAAAATTTTTATTAAAAAACAATTTCAAATGTTAACATATTGATAAATAAATAATTGCAGGGAGGAACTGTTCGCTTGTTTAAACATTGTATGCAGTATTATTCGAGGTTCCGAATCTGTTCTACCAGTATGGACAGAAACACCACTCGAATTGATCGAGTCTTCCGTAAAATGGAATATATCTATGACGTTCACATATGGAATAAAGAGACATATCACAATGCCTGATGGAAGCAACGTTAGACACTATCTTGTCGGGCTTATGAGTCAAGTCCAACGGGCGATGCTTGAAAAAGCAGAGGATAACACGAAGAGCTTTTTTGAACTGATACGGGTATGTATACATTAAACGTATTGTAATATAAATATACAGAGTGATTTACTCGTATTTTATCGAGCAATTATCTTAAAAAGGAATTTTTTTGAAAAAAAAAATTATTTAGATGAACGTTGTGTAAGGTTAAAGCATAGTAATAAGTAATAATCATTATGTGGGTGGTCCTATGAAAGGCCCAACGTCATCTAGATTTAAAAGTTCCTCTGTGACTCCCGCTAAGAGATTATATTGGCAGTCAGACACCAGGTCTTTAGTAGGGACTGCTCATCTTTTCCTCTTCAGCAGATGTTATTTTAGCAGAGATACTCTCGGTAGTGTTGCCTTGCCTACCGAGAGGTGGCCATCGCTTCCAGATCGATTAGAAATCGATTTTAGTTTTATCGTTTTGAGATGGACTTGAACCTGGATCTTTGGCACAAAAAGCTGCCACGCGCAGCTCCTTGCGCCATGATCGCTCTCAAGATTAAGGCATAAATAATAATGGAAGGATTGGACACAGTCACTCACAGCAACCGGTGCCTAGAGGCTTTCTAGTTTCAAGCGCTGTGATTGACTTGTATCCAATCGTAACGTGATCAATCGGGTGCCACCCAATAATAATAATGAATAGAATCAATTTTCGAAAAAATCCATTTTGAATACCTTAATGCATTTATACGATTAAAGAATTTTTTGTCAGATTGAAAATATCGATTGTTTTTAAGCAACTCTTTAAAAATCTTTTGTATAAAGTTGGAATTCAAAATTATTTTTATTATTTTTATCTAAAAATAAAAAAAATTGATATAGAATCAAAGTCAAAATTTCCGATTTTTTTTTGTGATATTCAAAATTTTTTTTTCTGGGACACCTTGGATAATGCAAATGCCGACGGTACTGAAAATTTCAAGCTTCATAACTCAAGATTTACTTAATCAAAAAATATTTTATCTGTGTTTTGGAAAGCTGTCGAGGTAACCTATAAGAATATGCAATAAAAAATGGGGGGTTCCATTAAAAAAATTTGAAGTGACCTTTCTCTTACCTTAACAGCGTAACCCAAGATCAAACCAATGGTACCATTTTATGTCCCCCTTGAAATCAAACAACTTTTGTTTGAAACATTTTTCCACGTCTAAAGCCGTTTCCGAGATATTAGGCCTGGGTGAGATTTTATAGACATCCTGTATATATTATCACATGCCTCGGTGATCGAATTAGTAAAGATGCCCACTTCGAAAAATCGAAAGGCTCCAGACGCATATTTGCTTTGCATAAGGATATGTAATTATATAATATGTAATTGACTGTGTTTTCTTTACACCAATCGATTTGTCTTATTATTCTGTGCATAACAGTATTAAGATACAATTATCATGAAATCAATAGTTTACGAGATATTTCATATTTTATGTCGAGATATAGCATAATAAAGTATTAAATATCTCGGTAAAGTATTGATTTTTCGACAGCTTTACCAATACTTTTATATGCAGAATAATTAAAGGGATCATTATTTTAAAAAAAACCATACTATTCCATTTAAAAAAGTGGAGGGACCTCCATGTGATCTTGAAAGAGATAAATTTCTTCATTTGTCACATGTGATATTTTTAAGAATATTTTTCTTAAATTATAGATTTGGACTAGTTTATTATTGGGAAAGATACGGTTGCGCGGACGTGATGGACGGCGCGAGGGTTTCTTAATCATCAAAAAGACTTTCGAGGACAGATTGGTACGAAATAAGAGTTACATAGCTTCGGTGATGATGGATCGCTGTGATATTCAGCACGAGCTCAGACTGACCGCGCAATCGGTCGCACTTACAGAAACCCATAAACGAATAATATTGGAACTGTTCACTTTAGCCGTAGGCAGATATGCAAACGTACGCTTAAAAGCTCAAGATAGTCTCTTCTCGATCTTTAAAAATTTTCCATATTCTTATACGTTTATAATGCCGCGTCTTATCGAGATTTTGGGGAGAGATACCGAAGAACATCACGATGCATATAAGGTAACGCCAGATATTAGACGTAAACTCCATGTATATGTTATCGTCATAACTTATAATCGTTAAAACTCGATTTCACTAGTTAAAATTAGTTGCGTAGAAATACCTACCCCTGTTTATCGAGTCGAAACGAGGTCTATAACAGTATACTGTCATAGATGTTCCACATAGGTTTTCGACGCAAAGCAAGGTCCAACTCACCTCCTTTCCCTGCTTATGGGATGAACGAGGTCTATAATTGTACTGTTCCACGTGGGTTTTTGACTTTCCACGCAAAATTGTTAAACCTACTTTTAACTAATGAAATCAGGTTTTAACGGATTATGGGTTTTGACAGTAACGTATACAAATAATTATTTTACTGGAACAATATTAAATTTTTATTAAAACCATTCGAAAATAGGGTGTTCTGTATATATTGCTTGGACAAGGACATGCTCCCATTTTCACGCAAGGAGATTTGGCTATACTGACATCATTATGGCCTGCCATTGTGCTTTCCAAGCCGTCCGAAAAACTTTCCGTGATCCGCCTAAGGCAGAACATCATGAATACTATAAGTAAATACTTCTGTTTGAATACGCTCAAGCTTGAAATATCCGACACACGTTTGAAGGCTGCATGCGCAATGTGGAAAAATTTCCCACAACCAGCTTTGCCACAGCCTGATCAAGACGAGATAGAGAAAGGCGCACAAAACTTGAAGCAACTCAATCAATCTAACCTAATGGCATATAATAATCTGCTCAATGAATTTTTACGTTGTATACTTGAGGAATCTCTACATTGGAGACATAAATTAATGGCAATGACTTTTATACGAGATTTGGTGTACCCAGATCAACCTTATCCCACAAAATTGGTGCGTTATTTTCTGCAAATACTTATACACGATTCCTTGGAGGAAAGAAAAATTGCCACCACCATAGTGACATTTATGTTGAAACAACAAAAACGAAAGCATTTAAAGGTATATAAGTTTTAAATTTTGTATAGCAAATCTTGATTATACCGTACAATTAAAAAAATGCACAAGAACGAAAGGTAATAGTTTCCTACATAGTGTTTCAGAACTACATACAAAACTTTACACGTCACAATTTTGAGAAATTTGTAATTTTAAAAACAGCTATTTTAGTGTATTTTGGCATAGTTACGATATGTGGCGTGTGGGAGAAGTTTTTTTTATTGCATCGATCAAAATTAAGTTTGTTGGTTTTAATTATTAAAAGAAGTTCGTCGATTATGATTTAAAAATATTTGATTAATATTAAATTAACATAGAATCTATTGCAGAAATATTAGATTAATATAGAATCTATTGCATAAAAGTTGCGATTTATACAGGTCACCCAACGAAAAATATTTCACCAAATTAATATCAATTCGATGCTCATATTTCTCACTGGATAAGGATGTACCAAATACATTTTAATTAAGAAATTGTTAAGAATTTTCTTATTTAAAAGTTTTCCAGATTGCTGAATACTAATCAACATTGACAAGTTTCAATTTAAATTGAAAAACCTCTCTTTCTTTCTCTCTCTCTTTCTCTCTCCCTCTCGCGCGCGCGCTCACATACACAGCAGATCCTTGATTTTAATCACAAGACGCATCGAGTTATATGAGATCTATGTGTCTATGGGATACGATTACTCTCATTCTTGTGCTCGAAAAGAAGTTTTTTTTTTGTTGAACAATGTTATTTACATAAATTGTATACATTAATAAAATATTTATCTTTGTTTTTCAAGGTAACGGTTGATGTACATAGCTTGTCCAATGAAAGCACGAAAAAAGAAGAAAAATCACGAAATGTCATGCCCGGTATAAGAGCTGACAATTCTTGGCTTCAATATAATTACGAAACTCGTCCGTTAACTGCCGAACAATGGGATGAATCCAGATACGTTCATAAAATGTACATAGGCTATTACGTTTGGCCAAAAACTTTGGAAGTATACGCACCTTCATCCCAACAACCTTGTCTCGACCCGGAAATGCGTGAACTGACGGATTGTGAGAGAGAGATCCATTCTTTTTTTGATGATCCGCAGAACATCGAGAAGCTTATATATTATTTCAGTCTAGAAGAGAAGAAAGGCAAGGACAAGTTTAACGACTTGAGATGTTTCCTGTTCAAAGGCTTGTTCCGTAATCATGGGATTGTTCATTTGAAGCATTTCCTGCCGCACTTGCAGCGGCTGGTAGTGGACAAACATGAGAGTAGCCAGCGATGTGCCGCGGAGATTGTAGCTGGGATTGTGAAAGGCGCCAAGCATTGGCCGTTCCAGATGACGTGTGACTTGTGGCAGGCATTATTGCCAATCATACGAACAGCAATCGCGAATCTAACGGAGGAGACCATTGTAGATTGGGGCTCGTGCTTTGCGTCGATACTGTACAATAGGGATCCCAATAGGCACCATTGGCTACTCGAGTGTCTGATGGAGGAGCCGCCGCTGAAGGACTCGTTTGAGGAATGTGGTCGTCTATACGTATTGCAATCCGCCTTGTACCAACAGTCGTGGCGGGTGACAGAGCTGCTGCAACGCTTGCTGGTGCGCTTGGAGAACCGATTGCTGACGAATCCGTTTCAGAATGTACGAGAACGTCTAGGATCGGTGCTAGTCACTATATTCAGTGCTGAACTGAGATACCCGTACAATACAGCCGACATCACGATTCCGCGAAAGCAAACTCTGATCGACAAGATTGTACCGAAATTAAAGCAACTGATAAAGGATGATGATACAGTCGAACCAAACAATCTTGACAAAGATGACAATTTATTAGAAAAAGTGGCTAATGTTTCGGTCGACGAGTCAAAAGAAGCGGGGAGATCGGGGAGAACGGAAGAACAGGAGATGCCTATAAGATTGTTGAAAATTGCTTGCAAATGGATTACAATTAGCTTAGTTTGTTCAGAGTGTACCATGACGCAAGGATTTTACCAGATATTTCCGATTATATGTCAATTAGAAAACTCGGAAGCAGACGAGGAGCTTAATAAATTGTGTTTACAAACCTTGGCAATGCTTGCGCAGGCATCCACGGAGGATGTGTCAGTAGCGTTGGCCGCGATGAAAATGGTATCTGAACACTCGTCATGGTCTACCAGGCTAACTAGCTTGGAGTTTCTTCAAGTATTCGTTTTTCATAACATGGGCATGATTCTTAGTAATCCATTATGGATTGACTGTGTTAAAGATATCGTTTTGCGCTTGTTAGAAGATGATCGTTTAGAAGTCAGAGAGAAGGCTAGTCAAGTACTCGGAGGATTATTACACTGCACATTTATCACGGATCAAGAGAAATTACTGGCAAGTTTCTAAATAAATCTGTGCCTAATGATTCTAATTTTCCAATTCTAGATTCTAAGAAAGTTTAAGACCTGAATATTTATTGTTGCGCTTTTAGGAGGAGTTCAAAAGAAAAGCGAAAACTCCATTACAAAAGAAGAATAGTTCTATTAATCAAGATGCATTGATAAACATCAAGAATGATGCGATACGTATACGTCACGGTGGTGTGCTTGGACTGTGTGCTTTTATTCATGCTCATCCGTACGATGTACCCAAATATGTACCTCCAGTCTTTGAACATCTCGGCCTTCACATGAATGATCCACAACCTATACCGGTAATTTAAATTATAATAATATAAAGTTGTTTAAATACTAATCATCTTCAAATATTCTCCGCCCTCCACATACAAAAAAAGTGTTACTAATTTTGGTTATTTAAGGAGTTACACCATCCTGAAGGTTCTAAAATGATACCTAAGTTTGGGATTTTTTTCTGGGTAAACAGATAACTTTATTAAAAAATTACTTTAAGGACATTGTTATACGTATATAATAAAGTATAATAAATATTTTTTTATTTTTTTTAATGCTTAAAATGATGGCACACTGGCCTACTTGCCAAATGCCTTTTTTTCTAAATTTTGAAATCGGTGTACAAGATTGCAGGCACACAGTTTGACCTTGAACAAAATACAAAGAATTTTCATTATCTACATATTAAAAACTACAGATGTACGT